CCCCCCCCCCCCCCCCTCCACACCGATCTGTGGATCGTTGTCTGACAACTTGATACATCCGGGCGCGAACTCGCCGGTCACGCCCTTGCGGTCTCCCTCTATGCACTTGACGCTAACGTACACGGGAGTGGCCTTCACCACCGACACGGGGTCACCAACTGCACACACACTAAAACCACGACGAGGGAGGTGGACGTTGTGCGGGTGACGTCGCGACGGCTCATTTGCTGCTTTTACCTTTGAGCCACGTGTTGAAGCCGAGCCCCAGCGCGTACACGCGGCCCTCAAGTCCATCAGCCAACGCTGCAAAACAGGTTGGAGCCAGTAATTGCATTACTCCTTTCCCCTCTGCCTGTGTGCCCACCTCCGTATGCCCCTGGGTAGTAGGAGTTGAATGGGCCCTGCATGCCCTGCACGCCCATGAAGGCCGACGCCATGGGACCCATACCTGGAGGATAACCAACGGAATTTGTGTGTGTGTGGTCTTTTGTGCGTTCTCCGTACCGCACGCACCGCCAGCAGTAGCAGGGGTATACGTAGTAGCAGCAGGCTGAGCAGCACCGCCACCGCCACCACCACGACCACCACCACCACTCGGCATCACTATCTCACCTGATAGACGGCGCCAAAAGAACGACAGAACACACACAATGTGTCACCTGCGCACCTGCGCGTGCCACTCTCCCCCCCCTCCTTCCCTCCCTCCCCCCCGACCGATCTGTGGATCGTTGTCTGACAACTTGATACTTGAGGTTCGAACATGCCGGTCACGCCCTTGCGGTCTCCCTCTGTGCACTTGACGCGAACGTACACCGGAGTGGCGTCCTGCACCACCGACACGGGGTCACCAACTGCACACACACAAAAACCACGACAAGGGAGGTGGGTGTTGTGCGGGTGACGTCGCCACGGCTCATTTGCTGCTTTTACCTTTGAGCCACGATGTGTTGAAGCCGAAGCAACTCAGTGCGTACACGCGGCCCTCAACTCCATCAACCAACACTGCAACAGCCACAACACAGAGAGAAGAGATCTGTCCATCCATCCATCCATCCATCCATCCATCCATCCATCCGTCCGTCCGTCCGTCCGTCCATCCCGGAGATCTGGGCAGACCTACCGCCATTGCCATCGTCGCCGGGGGCCCCGACGGCCGTCAGGCCCGGCTCGCGAGTGTCCGCAGAGGTGCCTGCGACACAGGAGCCTTTTCATGGCTTCGTTCCATCGGTCTGCGGTGGCTTACCCTCAGCGTGGGCCTGCGCCATCGAGAGAAGTCTTGAAACGCTTGAAACGAGAGCAGCCGACTCAAACCAACGACAAGTTTGGCTCGGCGGGGATTCGCTTTCTCGCCGCGACAAAAGACAGTTTGTCTCTTTTTCCCGGCTTTGTGTTTCATTCCCGCCGTATCTCCTCTTCGTCGTTACCGATTCCCTTGCGCCCGGCATAGCCCGGCACCGGCACTGGAGCGAGGCTTCGCCGTCACTGAAAGGCTGTGACCGACACAGCTCAGCCATCCACCGCCGTACCGTCATCAACTCCCATCTCCTGGCGAACGTCACTTCTGCAGCCAACACTTCGCCGCTGCACCCACCCGTGAGAGCGCGCCCAAGTCGATATCGCTGCCCACGCCATGAGCGCACCTAATCTGCGCCGCCTGATGGCCGCCGTCAAGGCCAACCCCTCGATGTCGGACGGGGACTTGACGGCACTGTGGGACGCCATCCCTTATGAGGTGAGGCAGCCCAGCCCTCCCATCCACCCACAGCCAGGAATGCGTGACGCGCAGTTCCGTGCAGCGCATTCTGTGTGCGTCGGATGGATGGCTGTGGGTCGTCATTGCACAGCTGCATGCCATTGGCGACGATGCAATCTCTTATGGCGATGCATTGCTGGCATGTCTCTCTGTGGTCTGTGTGTGCAGACGCGGCAGGCGGAGAAGCTCGAGTTGGACAAGTGGTTTAAGACACTGTCCGCCACCGCGAGTGGCGTGACTTCTTCCGCATCCACTGCCGCATCACCAAAGTCAAGGCCAGGCGGCTCCACGCCAGTAAGCACACTCAGCCAGCCAGCCAGCCAGTCGACAAACACGGGGCGGGAGGGATTGATTCTCGCATTCTCCAATACTCACATGTTGTGTGTGTGTGTGTCTGTGTGTGTGGCTGCCGCTGGTGCTTCAGAGTTTGATAAGTTGGAAACCGCCCAGGCCGAGAAGGGGTCCCGCGCCGCCAACGAGTTTCCCGGCCGGCAGGCTCCTGGTACGCTGCGGCTCGTGTTGTTTGTTGCTGCTGCCTCATTCGAAAATATCCGCAGCCAACCTGCGCCGTCTGCTGGCCGCCGTGAAGGCCCGGCCCTCGATAAGCGACGAGGAGCTGCTGACGTCGTGGCACGCCATTCCATCTGAGGTGAGGCAGCCCGTCCACCCACACGCAGCCAGGGATGCATGACGCGCAGTGCCGTGCAGTGCATTCTCTGCATCGGACGGAAGGACGGATGTGCGTGTGTGATGCGTGATGCCACAGCTGCATGCCATGGCGATGCATTCTGGCATGTCTCTCTGTGTCTGTGTGTGCAGACGCTGCAGGCGGAGCATCTCGAGCTCGAGGCGCAAGCCAGCAGCCGCGAGTGGCGTGAGTACATCGGCCTCCGCCGCCGCGTCTTCAATGTCAAGGCCAGGCGGCTCCACGCCAGTAAGCACACCCCGCCAGCCAGTCGACACACACGGGGCGGGAGAGATTGATGCGGGCATTCTCCAATACTCACATGTCGTGTGTGTGTCTGTGTGTGTGTCTGTGTCTGTGTGTGTGGCTGCTGCTGGTGCTTCAGAGTTTGATAAGTTGGAAGCCGCCTCGGCCGAGAAGGCGTCCCACGCCGCCAACGAGTTCCGTGGCCTGCAGGCTCCTGGTACGCACCCACACCCACCCCATACACACACACCCATACCCACAGCCAGACGGCCACACATCCCCTCCTCTCTCTGTGTTTGTTATCCTTCCCTCAGCTGGCCCTTATGTGCAACTGCCCCCGCCGGCCTTCGCCGCGGCCAGATGTGCAACTGCCCCCGCAGGCCTTCGCCGCGGCCAGCCTGCCCCCTCCCCTGATGTGGGTGCTGCCGCCGGTGGGGAACATCGCCTTCGACGATTTCGCCCTCCTGCCGATGGCCGAGGTCCCCCCCATGCTGCGGCGCGCCCACGTCGGTGCCTGCGGCAGGGCGGGTAGCCAAACACAGAGAGAGAGGGGGAGGGTGCCGCTGTCACAGCGGAATGCTTGAGCCGGGATCACATTGCTGCCTGGCTGCATTTTTGGCTCTGGTTGTCAGGTCGGGCACCCATTAGTACGGCGAATAGATGCATTCACTTCATTGTCTGGCGGCACGTAGGCGGCCATGCATTCACTTCATTGTCTGGCTGCGTCTGTCGTGCGGTGAGTCTCGTGCTGTATAGTCGATTGACAGAGAGAAAGAGAGAGAGGGAGGGATGGAGCGGCGATCGGGCCATAGATAGTGGCTTGATGCCGACGAGTGTGCTGGCCGTTGTGACCAACGGACTGGTGCAGTGACTGAGTGTCGCGCTTTTCTGGCTTGTATGGCGGGATGGATGGATGCATTATGACTGACTGCGGCTGTGATGGTGCTGATGAGGTTTATGTGTGGCGGGAGAGGGCGGCCAGGGTGTGTGTGCATCCCATTCCTTTGTCTGTGTGTGGTCTGGCTGGCGTGGGTGTGTTGTGTTCTGTGGTGTGAGGGGCCTCGTGGCCGCCGCAAAAAAAGACAAGAAAAGGAGGGGCCCATGGCCGGCTGTCTGGCCGTGGTGCCCCTCGAAAACCTTGTGTGCGTGGCCATCCATCCATCCATCAGTCGCCATGCAGGCAGGCAGGGTGTGGCGTGCGTCGGGTGCTGTAGTGTATGGTTCGTCTGGTGCTGTGCTGTGCTGTTCGATGGACTTCACACCGACCCCCTCCCACACAGACACACACACACATACAACAGCACCACTAATACGACAGTAAGGCTACCCCTCTCTCTCTTAGACGCCTCTTGGAGTGCTTCTCTGGGGGAAGGGGTAGCCAGACAGAGACCTGTGTGAGGACGTGGGGAGGTGGGGCGTGTGTGCCCTGGCCGGACGTCATTTGTCTGTCCTGTTTGGTGTGGCTGGCGTGTGTCGTGTGCCGGTGTATTTATGGTGTGGTGACTCTGCTCGGCTGTGTGGTTGTCTGTTGTGTTGTTTTGGTCGGTGCCATCCCATCCCGTCAAACCCCCCAATTAGATGATAAGTTCCGTGCCGACCTGACTGCCCTTCTTGCGGCCCTCTTAGAGTGTCCGCCTGAGGGAGTGGGCGGCATGGACGGGGGAGGGGGTGGGAATGGCTGAGTGAACGAGTGGATGGATGAGTGAGTGGACTGAGACGGGGAGGGGGGCTGCGGGGAGGGGGGCTGGTGTGTGTCTCGCTTGGATGGCTCCCGACCGTTGGTCGGACGCCCAATCGCCGCCTACATTTTATATCTGTGAGTGACGGTTTGTGTGTTGATGTCTCGGGGTCGGTGCGCGTGTGTCAGGCTGCCGTGGGCCGGTGGGAGGAGAGGCCGATATATGTTGTCATGTTGACGAATCGGTGCCTGCATTTTATATCCGCATGTACGTTGATGCTCTCGTTGATTCGGATCATGCGATGGGTTGACCGACGAAAGCGTGTGGCGTCAATGTGCTTGTGCTTTCCACTCATTAAATGTCAGTCTGACGGTGTCATGGCATGTGAATGAGTGCCAATGCACAGCCACCCACCCCGGGCGCACGGATACATGTCTACAAGGCACTGTACAAGATTTCCACACACGCACGAGCAACACATTGCTAGGCATCAAGTGCAGGATGCACCCACTTTGACCTCTCCTCATCCAGCGTGCCGCTCCGGATTGCTGACCTGAACACATACACGCACATGGATGGCGGCTCTCAAGATCAGGTGCGTGGTTTTGTCACACGCCCACCCACCTGATGTCTCTCATGAGTCTGTTCATGAAGAAGACGTTGTGCAGCGACACCAGAGTGCCCCCCAGCTGCTCGCCCGCCTTCAGCAAGTGGTGCAAATACGCCCTGAGAGACAGAGAGAGAGAGAGAGAGCCAGTCAGTCAACACGCAACACACACAATGCAGCAGACAGCCAGGAAGAAGACAGGACATTCGCCGATTCACCTGCTGAAGTTTCGGCACGTGTAGCAGCCGCACGAGGCATCGATGGGCCGACTGTCACGCTTGAACGGACTCTGCATGCACACGTGCATTTCAAGCAAGACAAGGAAAGAACGAAGCCCGCCTAACTCACCCATCTCTCTAACCTTTTTGAGGTTGATGTGCTCCTTGACCTTGTCGCTCCTGCTGCCGCCCCCGCTGCCATCCGTGTCCCAGAAGTCGCGCCGCACCAGCGCCCCGCCGTGCCGCCCCAGTCTGGTCGGATGCACACAGTCGAATGTGTCGATCCCGTGGCGCACCCCGTGGAAGATGTCCCGGACACCGCCGATGCCCAGGAGGTGGATCGGGCGGTCCCGACGCAACGACCTGAACGGACGAGATGAAGATTTGTGGTGTGGTGTGGTCACAGTATTGTGGTGCTGGCGGCAGTGAGTGTGTACTTTGCCGTGAGGGCGACGACGCTGTGCATCGTGGCTCTGTCTGCGCCGAGACTGCCGCCAATCGCAGACCCGAAAAACGGCGTCCTGCACTCATTGACACACACATACATACACACAGGCAGACCGTCGGGTGATGCCACTTTCCATGTTTTCTGGCCCCGCGTTGCGTACGTGTTCACGAAGTGAGTTGACTCGTCACGGAGCGACGGGCATGTTCCGCCCTGTACAATGCCGTAGAGCGCCTGCCTCTGCTGGCAGTCGAGCCGGGAGAACTCCTGGAGGCTTCTGAGGCCCCAACGGTGGGAGCGGCGCATGGACGACTCCGTGTAGGACTGCATTGCATTCATTGACACATCGATGGACATGCAGGTCACCTGCATGTGTGCCACGTGTGCACGTGTGTACGTGTGGTGTGTCCGACCCGGGTAGGGCCACTCACTCGCTCACCTTTTCCACATTGAATGGCGTGCACTCGTCCAGCACGAGGATGATGTCGGCACCTGCCGGGATGTATCCATGAGAACGATCCACCATATTCCCGGTGTGTGTTGTGTGTGCGTGTTTGGGCCTTACCCAGCTGTTTCTGCACTAGGATTGAGCTCTCGGGCGTCAGCGTCTTGACAGAACCATCCCAGTAAGACCTGCAGACATGCAACATACACGACCTTCGTGCCTCAATCTGTTTCAATGAAAACGGTGACTGACCTGAAGGTGGCCCCCTCTTCAGAGATGTCGATGAGGCTCCTCATCTCGTCCGGCAGGGTGCGCTGGCCCTTTATCTCCGATGACACGCTGCCATGGCCCATGGAGAAGATCTGATAACCGCCAGAGTCCGTCAACATCGGACCACGAAAACCTGTGAACTCCTGCAGCAGACGCACACCACACAGAAGGATGAGCAGTCGCCTGCACACCTTGAGTGTTGCATTCATTCTCTCTGTGTGTAGTTACCGACCTGCAGCCCTCCCATGTCCTCGACGAGCTCGCTCCCAGGCCACACCAGCAGATGGTACGTGTTGGACAAGACGATCTGCGTGCCGGCCTCGCGCAGCTGCTCGGGCGTCAGGCCCTTCACCGACGCCTTGGTACCACAAAACACGAAGTTCGGCGTCTCGACATCCCCGTGAGGCGTCCGGAGCACGCCACAGCAAGCATCAGAGCCATCAGTGCTCTCGTGGACGATGTCAAAGGCGAAGAAGGGATAAGAGGGAGCGTCAGAGGGCAGGCCGACCGACTCAATGTGAGTCAGCGAAGCAGCTGGCATCACGTCGGCTGATGCATGTAGACGACTCGGCCGGAAGCGAGGGCGAGGGGCCAGGGAAGGGGTGAAGGAAGCATGCCGACTCATCGCCGGTCTGCAGCGCAATGCGACGGTGAGGAAAACCGCCCTGGTCAGCCAGCTTCTTGGCCTTCTCCTCCGCCTTATGAGAGATCTGCCACTGAACCACCTTGGATAATGATTTGGATCTTGATCAGCCTCGCCCATCCCACCAGTAGGCTGGTGCGGATACCCAAGGAAGGTCCTTCGACCACTCCCCGTCTGCGGGCTTAACTGCGAGCTTGAGCGTGAGAGGGAATGGAAAAGCCACAATGAAAGAAGCAAAAGGCCCCCCGTGACTAACAGTGTTGATCGGCACTGTATGCAGCACGTTTGACTGATCCCCATCGAACATACCATGGCTGCTGCAGCAGCTGCGGCTGCTGGTGTGCCTGGCAGCCCCCGGCAGGTGGGTGGCGGCCGCTCCAACGGTCTGATGAAGGAGATCGTGGTGGAGAGGGGTGAGCACTATGCCATCAGCCGGGTGGACTTCGGCATTCTCTCCTCCGAGGAGATACCCAGATACGCATCCATGCAGGTACGGTGGCACGTGCCGTAAATGATGGATCAAAGCGGCGCCTTGGCCCATGTGTTATCGTGGTTTTGGTGTTCGTTCAGGTATACAATCGTGAGTTGTATGACCTCAGCAGCCGCGAGCCGTTTGCCTTCGGATGCCTAGATACCCGGCTGGGGGTGTCGCGTCGAGATGCCACATGCACCACGTGCAGGGGAGGCCTGCAGGACTGCGCCGGACACTTCGGGTCAGACAGACAGACATCCACACACGCAGACGCGTGTGTGTAGATTTCCCTTTCTCGGCTTTCTTCATTCATTGATTCAGATTCGTTCGTCTGGTGCTGCCGGTGTTCCACATTGGTTACTTCAAGCACACGCAGCACCTGCTCTGCTGCATCTGCAAGGAGTGTGCGCGCATCCTCCTGTGCGACGACGAGGACAAGGGCCCCCTGTGGACAGATTGGCTGAGGAAGATGCGACGCGCTAAGATGGGCGAGGGCGGGGGGGATGCACTCATGCGCAAGCAGCTGTTCCGGAAACTGGTGCTGAAGCTCAAGACGGTGCGCGAGTGTCCGCATTGTGGGGCGGTGAACGGGCCGATTAAAAAGGTGGCGGGCCAGCCCATGAAGCTGCAGCATGACTTTGGGGCCGTCAGGAGCACGGGCAAGAAGAGAGCCAGGGCGACTGCACAGGGGGTGAGTGAGCCAACAGAAAGATGGTGATATGCATGATGCGTCTGTCTTGACCTCATCTGTTTGTGCAGCAGTATGGTCATGAGGCGTATCGTGAGGTGGAGAAAACGGTTGAGGACATGAACCCGCTGCGTGTGTACCACTTGTTCCGCAAGATGATCCCCACCGACTGTGAGATCCTCGACATCGTGGAGCCGCAGAAACTGCTCCTCACACACGTCCTCGTGCCGCCGGTGAGTATGGCACGCACAGACCAAACAAAATGGCATCATCTCTCTCTTTCTCTCTCTTTCTGTGTGTGTGTGTGTGTGTGTGTGTGTGCGCGCGCTGTAGGTGTGTATCCGTCCGTCTGTGTCGATGGGCGATGCCGGCACCACTGAGGACGACCTCACCATCAAAATCGCAGAGATCGTCCAGGTGAAATGGGTGCACACACACAGAGAGAACACACACACATCCCTCTGCATACATCAATGCATCCACTGTGCTTGTATGCATTGTGTGCGTGCGCAGACGAACAGTGTGTTATCTCAGGCGTTGGAGAAGGGCAACCACGTGCGCATGATATTGGAGAACTGGGAATTCCTGCAGCTGCAGATCGCCCTGTTCATCAACAGCGAGATGCCCGGCATCCCCCAGTACATCCAGCAGCAGGGACGCCCCGCCAGGGGCATCTGCCAGAGACTCAAAGGTCAGCCATTCAGCCACCCTCAGTGCCCTCTTGTGTCTGTGTGTCGACCATGTGTATGTATGTGTTGTGTATGTATGCACTGTGTAGGGAAGGAGGGTCGGTTCCGCGGCAATCTGTCCGGCAAGCGTGTGGACTTCTCTGGCCGGACCGTCATCTCCCCTGACCCCAACGTCGGAATCGACCAGGTAGAGAGAAGAAACATATGTGTGTGTGCATGCGTCAATCTCACATGGGTGCGTGTGCATCAGGTGGTGGTCCCCGAGTGGGTCGCCAAACGAATGACCTACCCTGAGAGCGTCTGCTCAGTAGGCTCGCATGGTCACAGACGCGGACGTATGCCTGTCTGTGTGTCAATGGATTGACTGCATTGCATGGATGTGTCTGTCAGGCCAACATCGGTCGTCTGCGTCGGATGGTGTTGAAGGGCTACGACGAGTGGCCGGGGGCCTGTTTCGTCATCAAGAAGGACGGCAGCAAACAAATGCTCAAATACGGAAACAAGTAAGTCCGTCAGTCAGACCCCGGACGTCCACACATGCGAAACATATGTACTGTGTGGTGTGCTTGGCGTGCGTGCAGGCGGACTGTGGCCGAGTCTCTGTCCATCGGTGATGTGGTGGAGCGGCACCTCAGAGACGGAGACGTCGTGCTCTTCAACCGACAGGTACGTAGCAGACACAACACAACACGTACACACGTCACGTGTATGTGTGTTGGTTGGTTGAGTGCAGCCGTCTCTGCATCGCTGCTCCATCATGGCGCACCGTGCCAAGGTGATGCCGTGGCGCACCTTCAGGTTCAACGAGTGCGTGTGCGCCCCCTACAATGCCGACTTCGACGGAGACGAAATGAACCTGCACCTGCCGCAAACCGAGGAGGCACGGTGGGTGGGCGGGTGGGCAGGCAGGGGCGGCATCTATGTGTGTCGATGTCTGCATCTATGTGTGTGTCTGCGTTGTTTGTGTGTGTGGATGGCATGTCGTGGCAGGGCTGAGGCGACTCATCTGATGAGTGTGGTTCAGAACCTCATCACACCCAAGAATGGAGACCCCATCGTCTCAGCCACACAAGTCAGCACACACACACACACAGGCACACCAACAGGGACACGCACCTGCATTTGTTCGCTGTCCTGCCTCTGCGTGTCTGTGAAGGATTTCCTGACGTGTTCGTATCTGCTGACGCGGAAGGACACCTTCATGACGCGGGCAGAGTTCTGCCAGGCATGCTGCTCATTCACCGACGGGTGGGTGGGTGGGTGAGTGG